AACAAATCTGAGCGCAGGACAAATACTGCCAGAGTGCCGGAATGCGATTGAGCGCCAGAACCAATAAAGCAAAAATTAAAACTAGCCTCACATTCCATTTAATTATTTCTTAATACATTAAATATGAAATCAATTTTAATTTCTTTCAATTAATTACTTTCAAGCACTTCTAATTCCATTATTACTAAGTCAAGTACATTAATTTCAAAAGCAGTCAAACACAACAGAATAAACTTAAAATTCACCTCAAGTACAGTTAATTTGGAAATTTTAATTAACTTAAAGTTAAAGTCAAAATTATTGATTTTCGATTAAAATTACCATAAATAATATGTTTTAGTCAAAAATTGAATGTAATAAGTTTGAATACCTGTTTTAATTGCTGATGAAGCTGCAAATGTTTGCAATTTTCCTGCCAAACAGCATAGTTTGTGCATGATTGCTTGTCGATTTTCATACCAATTTTGGGGCCTAATAAATGTTAGCAATTCATTTTTAGTAACCGCAACATGGCTGATTCGACCCTCAAAATTCGGAATTGTTTCAGGCAGTGAAAAAGCAACCATTTTGTTTCGTAAAACAATCGTAATTCTGTAAAAATAAAAAAATTAACAACTTTTGCATAATTTATGCAACAAATAAATATACGATGTAATTTTATACAAAAATGAAGTTAAAAATATGAAATTTGTATAAAATTCTCTCAGAACCATAATATTTATTACTCAGCTACAGTACCATAAAACTGCGTGAAAGTTACGTAAAAACACGCAGCTTCCAAAAGATGCAAGATGAGATATCCCACCATATTTTTATACAAAACGCAATGTAACCAAGCAGTCTCAGCCCAGACTCACAAATGATGACGTAGCATTTGCACTTCTGATGAAATCCTCAACTGAATTATCTCCGCCTAGAAACGAATATGCAAATTTTTGTTAGATTTTTTGTGCAAAGACTTTCACTCTTTTTAACTTAATGTCCATATTCGAAAAGTTTCTGAATCTCAATCCCTTCTTAGACTTAGACTTACTGAACACATTTCAAGTCTCAATCCTTTAGACTGACTGAACACATTTCAAGTCTCAATCCCTTAGACTTACTGAACACATTTCAAGTCTCAATCCCTTAGACTTACTGAACACATTTCAAGTCTCAATCCCTTAGAATTACTGAACACATTTCAAGTCTCAATCCCTTAGAATTACTGAATACAAATCAAGTCTCAATCCCTTAGAATTACTGAATACGTCTCAAATGAATCCAGAATGCATAATAGATTGAATGCTCAAACGATAGTGCACAATTTCTTCTAAGATTTACTGCATAAATCCTCTTGTAAAATTTTAACATTTTTCACGTATCTTGCATTAATGCTTATGTAACAGCTCCATTCCATTCCTGCATTTACTGTCAAAACTCTTAGAATTAAGTTTCTGCAAGAATACAATCACAGAATTTTAGCAGAAATTCCGTGTAAAAACACTTTATTTGCTCGATTCTACTGAAAACGTGTACTGTTTTCATAGTTTCATAACAACATAGAAACTCCGTGTAAAAACACTTTATCTGATCGAGTTTACTGAATACGTTTACTGTTCTTATAGTCTCATGACTACACAATGTTTCAGATCTTTATTATTCCATGCTTGTGGAATATTTTGTGATTGAAAAGATCACAAGCGCATTTATTCGCTGTTATATTTAAATGCGGGAGTCAATAACTTTCAGAATGTGAAAAGTTGCCAGGAAAAAACAAAAATACAAGAATGTACAGAGAGAAGAAATTTTAAAACACACGAATGTACAAATACAAGAAATTTTAAACACGTTTAGATCAAGCATCCAATAACTACTGATAAAACCAAGCAATCATCCATCGATCACTAATAAAAAATATGAATTTTCAACACCTTGCCTATGTTTCTTTTCGAGCGATTAATTGAGAATTTGCTTCTATCTATTTGTACAACTACTGACAAACATACAAATAATAAATAAAGATCAAGTAAAATATTGAACCTAACAAACCAATTCTAGATTCAACATCAATACCTGAAACATAATTTTTTCAGGTAATGTTAACAAAAACTTGCTAAACTGAACTGGATTTAAGGACACAAAAATACAAGACTCATTTCATTAGTTGCAGTCATGTTACGAATTAATAACTTTAAGACTTCAGAATATGAGTAGATCATCACCATTTTATTCTTTTTGAATTTCACATAGAATAATTTGTATTTGAAGCTTGAGTATTATTTGTTATTTCCGTGAAATCATTCGATTTCGAACTTTTGTCCAAAGTATTAGCAAAAGTTACTGCGTGATTCCAAATCTGAAATGAAATTAACGCTCTATACAAAACCAGTATAATTTTTATCATTATAATTTGTATGTCATTTTGTTTTGAATTTGTTGACATATTGTCCGACATCAAATATGATAAAATATGACCTTTTTTTGTAGAAAATACAATTAGAAAAATGTCAGATGACAGAAATCTGTGTAAAATTTATCTTATTGTCAAGATTACAAACTATATGTTTGATGTCTTACTTCAACGGGATCATCACTGTATCCTGACTCATACCCATCTTCTAAATCATTCTCAATAACTCGAGCCCATCGATTTAAAGTTTGTATTGCTCGTTTTGATAATTTCGACTTATCTTCAATTACTTCTGCTTTAATACCACCTCTTGGTGTGACTTTCATGCTTTTCTCAACGACAGATGAAAGTGAAAGCTGTCTCAAAGCGTTTTCGGCCTAAAAATAACAACAAATGATTAAAAAATTATTTTCGACATTACATATTATCTATTTACAGTAAAAATAGCACTTTCTTAGAAAATATGCAGCATAATCAGCTACTTTATTTCAGACAAGGAAAAGTTAGACTAATTTTTTTTAGATTATATATAAAGGCTTAATTTTTCAATCTTATTTTTATATCAGAACACAAAGAAGTTACTCGTTAAGCGCTGCTAATTCGTTTTTTAGTGTACGACTGGTTTTTATGAAAGCTGAATAAATTACTGCAACACAAAATATTACATCTTCTCTTGTTTTGAATGTTTTCTTTGAGATATATCTAATATGCCAAACTGTATAAAAAGAACGCAGCAGCATCTTATTAGCTTCTGACAGAGACGTCGCACTTGAAAGCTCCTTTGGATCATTTGTAATATCCATAAATCCAGTTCGATCACTTGAAGATTTGGAAAAATCACATGTAAAACTATTTTCTTTTCTCTGCCTCTTTACTTTCTTCCAATACTGCATTTTTTTAGTATAATTCTCCCAATTTCGATGCTAAAAACAGGAAAAAAATTTTACTGCTGAAACGAAAGTTGATAAACTGATCACAATACAATGAATAAAACTTTTCTGGAAAAAATAGAAGATGATGAAAAAAAATAGTTTAAAAAAGTTAAAAACTGTTGTAGTGACTACATAACTTTAAAAGTTCCAAAACTATTAATTTGATTAACATGAAAATTTTTTTCGGAAAAATAAACTTGACTTACTCCACTTATGCAATTCCTTATTAAGAAGGGAGGTTCAGCTTTTCTTTTTCGACGATACTTTTTTCCTTTAACTTTCAACTGCTCATTCTTTGCAAAAATATCAGGAGCACAATTTACTAGCAGCCGTCTGTTAAAGGAATTAGTGTCAAACTTATGCTTTTATGCCTTTATTTCAAATTTAATAAAAAATTTACATATTCAAAAAAAATATTTTGCAATAAAAAGTAAACGATAGTTTACCTGCAAATGCTATTAACAGTTCTTATCTTTTCATTTCGACTTCGTATGCTGTTGTTGTCAATACAAACTTCTCTCCAAGGTTTCGGCTTTTTCATATATGAAAGCAGTACAAAATACTGCGCGACTTCAGCCATTTCTTGAGCTTTCCTGTTGATGAAGAAAGCAATTTAAAATGAATGCCATCATCAGTGTAATGATACAAACGTTTGACGCATTTCTGCAAGTGAAAGATTCCTTCTATTTGAAATTTTTCATTGCAGGCATTTTTTACGAGGATATTGTAGTCATTACAAACAAAGACGCAAGTTAAAAACACAACTGAGCTTGAAGCAAACTTTTATTTGTGCTCAAATATGCAAAATTCGAATAATAATATTTATGAGAAATATATAAACATCAAAATAAAGCAAATTATTCACATATTATTAGAGAGATTTTTTGCATTTTTTCAGTACTACAATATCGAACTTGCAAAGATATTTTATAAACATCAGATAAGAACAAAAAGTAAATAACTTAATGCAGGCATGCTACACGTAATCAAGTAACGCAATATGCATAAAACACTCACGTAAGAAACAACATGTAGCTTTGGACAAGCAATAATTAAAACATTTGTACAGGAAATAAATTCAATTTGAATCTACTACCTATCGCAGTGTGAAAACATCTCATCCCAGAGAACATTACAATGGTACGGTTATATTTGTTGCAATTTTTTAGGAGTATATCCTGGTTTACAATCTGCTCAGTGATTTTAGATATTTATTTCGGAGACAAAAATCACTTTCAAGAAAAAACAATCAAATTATGTTTAGTACCGTGAATTGTTTCCAAGTGAATGAAAAAATTATGTGAGAATGTAAAATTTTGAATAATATCAAGTCCTTATTTCACGCTTGATAACTTTTTCTTGCGATGCAGCAATTTGAATTTTTATTAATTTTCATCAAAAACTCTTTCTGAATACTTTTAAGGTTTAATTTTGAAACTGGACAGTAAATGCGTAAGTTGCGTGATATTTTTTATGAAAATCAACGTTTAAATTCATTTTTGCTCAATTTTGTCTAAAAAAAAGAAAAAATCTAAAACAATTCAAATTACAGTGAAACATTACTAAGTCATAAAAAATGACCAGTTTCTGAGACAAAACTTTAGAGAAAATCAATCAATTATCAATTTATCAATTTTTTATTCGATTTTTTATGACATCATTAATTATAAGTTATGATACGTGAACTGGGGTCAGTTTTTTACAACACCTTATCACTTTCACTTTATCAGTTATTAAGTCCAGGATACCTTGTCAGTTTTAATTAATTTTCAAAACTAATATTTGTCGCTTAAAATTTCTACAACGAAACTGCTACTTTTTTGTCAAGTATTCCATTTCAGACATTACTCTATTTTTCATTTTAATTTTTTTCAATACTTTCTAGAGCCTAAATGTTCTTCGTTTATTCCCGCCAATAAATTATTCACAGCCATTGATTAACAGTACTGTTATTATTACTATTACTATTACTATTACTATTGCTATTGCTATTACTATTACTATTACTATTATTATTACTGTTTATTATTAGTCGCTTCGAAATTTTCAGCAAAATAATTTTAAAATTTACAATTTTAACTTTCAATCAATTCAATTTTGTTAAAAAATTTGGACAATTAATAATATTGCTTGTACATAAAAGGAAATGAGAAAATGCATTAGAGTTTAATGCAAAAGTTATTATACTGAAAAAGGTTGCGCCATTTTCATAAATGCATTTCAAATTATCAACTAATTACTGAAGTAATTATTTACTTTCGCGAAAGAATCCTTGATAAATACAAACGATGAATATTCTTAATTTTGCTAAATATATTCACCATTTCAATTATTCTTATTTATATTAATAATAGAAGTGAAGATAAACGTGACAAATACAGTAATGATTAGTGATTGCTATGTGCAGTGTTGAGCATGCAATAATGAGTGAATGGATCAGAGATGCCGAGAAAATTTTTCGGTATGCAAACAGTATTATCCGTTGTTTTGTGCAAATAACAAAAATGAAAAAAAGTGTTTCAAGGGAAGTAAGAACAGGTATTAAATACGTTTGCTTAACAGAACTTAGTAAAACTGTATTCCCAGAAAAAGTGAAAAATACAGTAATATCACGCAGCTAACTATGTCGCATTATTGATTACTTGAATATTACTACATTTTTGCCAGTAATATTTTTTTTAACTTCTTACTTTCGAGAATCTTTAGAAAAGGAATCTAATTATAACAAAAAATATTTTAAGTGACTGCTCCTTACTACAAACTTACTTAGCTAATTTTTGCTTTTTCTTGAAAATTCAATGACACACTGAATAGCAAATGATTGGAAATAATCGAAATTTCAGATGTAAGAAAGAGCAAAAACAGAAATATAGCAAGAAGTGATTAAATTTAATATCAAATTTGAAATTAATCCATGACTTTTGACTCAGTCACTAATTTCTATTCAAAATTTTTCAGTTTTTTATTTTTGCTCCTTTTTTGGAGTATTACAATCAGTTTCATTTGAAATCTTCATTTACTTTCAGAAATTCTTTTTTTGGACTTGAATTTAAATTTTTAAGCTAGCTTCTCTCGTTTATGACTTGCTGCAATAATAAGCTTTCTCACTACAGATCATTCATAATTGGTTGCAATAACAAGGCATGTGACCTTTTTGAGCAGTAAGTTCATCTACCTGAAGGTCACTCTCAGAACGCCGCTCAAATTTGCATAAATGGCAATCAATCGTTTCTCTCATCTTCTTTATGTGTCATTTTGTACCGTTTCATTAACGGTACAAGTAAAGATAGACGAAGACATTTAAAGAAATTCAACATACTACTAACGTTACAATCAACTTACTGCTACTTTTTTTTATTTTACGTTTTTTCTGCTCAAAATTCGACGTCTAAGTTTTCGCAAGAATTCAAAGATTTGAATTTGATCAGGATTAATCTGAGCTATTAAAATGTATAAAAATTTAGCTAACTTTTCAAAAAGAAATATTTCAGTCAACAACTTGACGCAAATTTAAAATTTGAAAAACTTAATTTTACTTGATATGATGTTTATGATATTTTTCAATATTACTTCACAGAGAAAAGTACATTACGCCAAATACGTATTTCTTATAGGCTAGTTTCATTTTTAATTTATTTGCAAACTAATTCAAACCTTTGACCATTGACTTTAATTTTAATTCAGTTCGATCCACTTCGAATTTTCGTATATTTAATTTTTTATCGTTTAGTAGAAGTTTTTCATTAAATTTATATTTAACTTAGCGTAATTGAAGTACAACTAAATGAAAATTACAAATTATTACAATTTAATAGTTAGCATTTTTTAATGCCAATAAATTTACACGTCAAACGTGTCATGTAGTTACTCAAATAAATTCACCGTCCCTCAACACGCCCATCAATTCACTTAAAATATTTATGCAAATCAATGCATACGCCTTTTTCTGCTCAGCCGCAGAATTTCTGCTCAAATCTTCAATTCACAACAAATGAAAAGTGCTCAAAAATCTTATTAGCAATAAAGGTACGGAAAACTTTCGTTTCCTTTCTTCTAGAAATAAGGCCTTAAAGGCTCTTCTTTCTCTTTCTTCTCAGTGAACTCTGTTGAGTTAAATTATCATCATTATTTATTATATGTATTATTATTATTATTATTATTATTATTATTATTATTATTATTATTATTATTTATATTATTATTATTATTATTATTATTATTATTATTATTATTATTATTACAACTACTATTATTATTATTGTTAGAACTATTACCATCATATTACCATTGGTATCATTACTATGGTTAATCATAAAGTAACAAAGTATTATTATTGCGTTCGACGCTCTTATCAACAGTAAAGGATTAAGTTATTAATTTCATCTGAAAATTTCATATTATTATTAAAGTAGGACAAATGTATTAAAAGTATTATATTCATTTACTACAGTGTAAGCTCAAAAAAGGATGGTCAGCCAAAGAGCAATTCATTAGCCTTATAAATTCCTTTGAATATTAACTTATATACTTAAAATACAAACATTGTTTTTTCTCTCATTTTATTGACTAATAATTGCTAACTTTAATTGTTAAAATATTTAAAAGACCCAAACGGTCTTTCGTAGTAATAAGTAAGCAATTAAAGTATATTAAATTTGCAAACTAAAAATTGAATAATTTTTTAATCGATAACTTTTTTTAAATATTTCACTTTAACTTTTGCCAATTTTAGTTTTGTTTCTTAAATATATGGAAATTTTTGTTGATGGATTATTCCATTAGGAATTGCAGAGATTATTCCAATTTTTCCATCTTTTTCCAACTTGTAATTAGCATATGGCAGCATCTTTACCCCTGCAACTAATGCACATCACATATTACCTCTCATTTTTTATTCTAATTTTATTACCTTTTAAATTTGCATAATTAAATAATTTATCTTTGATTTCATATATCCATTTTCTATTCTTTATTATTTTATAATTTTGCAGAAGTAAATATTTATAATATGCCCTCTTATGTTCATTTAAATGCACCAAACATTTATTCATATAAAAAATTTAAAGAATAGCCAAAATATTAAAATTTTATGATAAATAATAAATAGTGATTTACTTATAAATGAATCACTTTGGTGTATTTTGATTTTCCAAATATATTGTACAGTTTATTTATATATGCTAGAATATGAAATTGAAGAACAAATACTCAGTGAAATTTCCTGCATATTAATTTTTCTAAAGTATATTGCACTGAATCTTGAATGTATTTTTAAAAATTAATTTTAAATTAAATTTCAAAAATTTTAAGTATAAAATTAAACTTTAAATTTGACGAATTAATAATAAATTAAATTGCAAAAATTTTAAATTTGAATTTAATTTTCAAACTTTTACTTTTTATCTAATAAACTGTTATGCTTTTTTCAAATTGTTTTGTGCAAAAGATTTAATTTTATCTTACTAGCAAAGAAATTAAAAACGAAAATTAATTACGTCCTTGAACGAAATTAGTATCATCCACAGCATTCTGCCCATCCCGCATACTTCTTTCCCCCTTTCACATTTCTTTCCAATTGTGATATTTAAGTAT